CACTGTAACTGGACAACCAAAGGGTCTGGGCTGACTGATATTACTTGAACCAATTAAGCAGAGATGGGGTTGAATCATATATGAGCATTTACTCCAATAATACTGGCAGTAGGGGAGAGTAGGAGGTCATCCACAGAATTCTGCTCTCCTCTCCCCATAAACCAGCTGCTTATATTGGGTAGAAGGACAAAGATGACGTGGGAAAGTAGGAATTACAGGTATGGAAAGCGGGCATGGAATAATCATTACAGATTATAAGTCATGCGGGCTAGAGGGGCTCACAGAGGCAGGTGCCTCCAGGTACCAAGGGACCAGATTACAGGAAACGGGGCTGGGGTTGTAGAGAGCAGATGCCTCCACTAGGTTGTTTCATCCACCAGGCTGTGAATCCTTCCACAATGATAGGCAGTTCTCGGACAGGAAGATGGACTGCATTCCAGTGTTAGGTCCCATGTCCAGGGCATACAACTCTCAGCCAGGCTAGAATGTGCTTTCTCTAATCAGAACGGAATCATGGTTAACAGAGCATGAATAATATTATAATTGTAGTTGGTCTCCAATATTCTGTTTCTACCCCTAACAGTACCACAAACAAATGAACCATCTTTTAAAAATTATTTGGAACTATATGGTGTCTCCTTGACAAGTTTCACTTTGAGGGAGTATTTTCTGCCATTGAGGGATTTACAAATTTCATACTCATTGCCAATTCTTGGGCAGGCAGATAAATAATTTCACTGTGTGAGATTTATAAGAAATCTTCAGTAATGGTGCTGGAAGCAGATCTGGTTTTGTTGTTGTTTGTTTGTTTGTTTATCTCTATAAGAAATGGACAGGAAGAGGGACTTAGGATGGCCAAGGAGAGGGCAGGCTTTGCACTGTGAGGCTGCATCATTACTTTTGTCCTCAGAACATCTGAAAAAAGCAGAGGACACTGTTAAATGGGACACTTTCTGGAGCAAATGCCCTTTGCTGTCATGCAAATAAACCCAAGCAAGATGGCTATGGCCACAGAAAGCAGGAGGGAGGCTTGGGTTTTCCCAGCAATGGAGGAAGCCAAGCTTTCCGCTTGCCCTTGCTGGCCCAGGTCTCCACTCAAGGCTACAAAGTTTCAATGATAGAGGATACATAAACCCAAACAGAAATGGTTGCCTCTAGTGTATATATATATATATATATATATATATATATATATATATATATATATTGTATATATTGTATGATCTTATTTGTGAGAAAGTAACAAATATTTTAAATATTCTCATAAATGCTTACCAAAGTTCTGAGAGAGTTCTTACCCAAGAAACTGGGGCTTACTAAGTTTCCACTTTTAATCTGTTGAACTGTTTGAATGTCTTACAATAAGTATGTGTTCTTTTTAAAAAAAATATATACATTTTTATGATTTCAGAGAGAAAAGAAGAAAGAGAGATAGAAACATCAATGATGAGAGAATCAGTTGCTTCCGGCACACCCTCTACTGAGGATCAAGCCGGTATTCCGGGCTCTATCCACTGAACCAAACCACTAGGGCAAGCGCATCTGTTCCTTATCACTTAAAAAAGTCCACTCAGCCGAAACCGGTTTGGCTCAGTGGTAGAGCGTCGGTCTGCGGACTGAAAGGTCTCGGGTTCGATTCCGGTCAAGGGCATGTATGTTGGCTGCGGGCACATCCCCGGGTAGGGGATGGGCAGGAGGCGGCTGGTCGATGTTTCTCTCTCATCGACATTTCTAGCTCTCTATCTCTCTCCCTTCCTCTCTGTAAAAAATCAATAAAATATATTTAAAAAAAAAAGTCCCCTCATCTTAGACCCTGACTGCTAAAGGATGCTTACCGAGTGGTCGTCCTGCTTTCTTAGAACACTTCCAGTGATGGAGAACTCCTTACCTCTTAACTATCAGGCAGTGTTTTGATCAGGATCCTCCCAGATGATAATTACTTCCTAGTAGGATATGATCTAGGATTCCAGGGGGTGATTCTATCAATCTTGTTTTGAAGGGCCTGGAGCTGGATGGTGCGCAATTTTGACAGATAGTTCTTGGTATTTTTTTTTAGTTTAAAAATTATTTTTGAAAATATGATCAGAAACTAATGTCTTCTGGTGATCTCACTCATATATGGAATCTAAGTAACAAAATTAACTGATGGATCGAGAGACATGGAAGCTTGGAACAGAGTGCAGGATCTCAGAGGGAAGGTGGGGAGGACGGGTGGTGGGAGGTAATCAATCAAAGACCTTGTATGCATATATGTGTAACCCATGGACGCAGACAATAGAATGGTGAAGGTGGGGAAGGGGAGATAGGGAAGCTGAAGGGGGCCATGGGCGGGAGGGGAAGGGGACAATGTAATACTTTCAACAATAAAGATTTTAAAAAAGAAAAAAAAAACTTTACTGGGAAGAGTCTTCAAGTTACTAGAGGAAGAGAATAAAATACTTTTTAGGATGCCATTTTAAAAGAGGATATGAAGCCCTAACCAGTTTGGCTCAGTGGATAGAGCATTGACCTTCAGACTCAAGGGTCCCAGGTTTGATTCCAGTCAAGGACATGTACCTTTGTTGCAGGCACATTCCTAGTGGGGAGTGTGCAGGAGGCAGCTAATCAATGTTTCTAACTCTCCCTCTCCCTTCCTCTGTAAAAGAATCAATAAAATATATTTTAAGAAAATAAAGAGGATATGAAGAATGTACATAACAAAAGAGCTTTGGTTTTCAAGGGACCTGATATGTAAATGGGGGTGGGGATAGTGTGCACACCTGAGCATACATGAATAAAAAGCACTGCTATAATACATTCCAGGAAAAGGAAAAAAAAAATCAGTAAGTGCCAAGAGGAGTATGAGGATATTGATTGAATCCATGGAAATGCTGGCTGGAGCAAATGGACTTAGTCTGGATTTTGATAATTGGGGACCGGGTAGGTACAGGGCACAGGAACATTTGATGGTAGAAAGAAATGGTGTGAATAGAGATGGAAACCCAGGGGGACAGTGGGTGTGTGCAGGCCTGTCTGAGTGATAGAAGGTGTTTGGGGGAACCCTCTTTCCTTTTTGAGGATGATGCCCAGGGGGAGAATCATGCCCACACAGTATGTCCCTGGAGCCTTCTTGCTGAGCGCCTGAGACCAGTCCTGTGGGCTAGCTGTGGACTTGCCACAGCCGTGTGTGTGTGTGTGTGTGTGTGTGTGTGTGTGTGTGTGTGTGTGCGCGCGCGCGCGCGTGCGCGCGCGCCTGACCCACGTGCATATGTTTCCTAAAGATCCCTTTCGCCGGAGATGGCTGTGAACTGACAGAGTTTTGATTTTGTCCTGTGTGAGACGTGGAAAATAAAGGCGGGGACTGTTTTTGCAATGTTCTTTTTATTTATTTATTTTTATTGTTTTAAAAAACATTTCTGCTTTTTACATATCAAAAGTGAAAAAGTATATAATTCAACACAGTTTCAAAAACATTGGACCCTACATTTGGGTCTCCTTGTGAGTATAGTTGTGGCTATCACTGTCCAGTGCATAATGAGAAAAGAAAACAACAACAACAAAGGGCCAAGATTTTTCACTGAAGAGCACATTGAGATGATTAGGATTCTATTAGGATACATTCATTTGACATCTATGTGCAATTCTTCAATAAATTGGTCTTCATGCCATACCCCTTAGCTAGCTGGTTTTCAGGAAAATTTCCTAACTGGGGTAGTTGAGCCTAAATTCACCGTCTCTTTCATTGCCCCCTCTCTCTTTCTCACATGTCCACCGCTCACACACAGCAGCCGGAAATGACACACCGAAGTGAGTCACCAATGCAGCTGTGAGTCACCCAATAATTGAGGAAAGTTCTATCCTGCTAGGTCGTGCATCCCTTTGCACTCCTGCTCCTAAATACATTGGAAAATTTTAAAATCTCTCTGTCCTCCCTCTAGTCTCTCTCGCCCACCACATCCTTTTGGTCCCTAAAAAAGAAAGTGATAATCTTGGCAGGGGTCCTAATCCATCAAGTGGAAAGGAAAGGAGAGTGACGGGGTTCAGGCAGCCACAAGGTGGCAGTGTGGGCCCCTCACGCTTCCACCCAGAGGGGTAATGGCAGCTAAATGACTAGACTCCTGAGATGCAAATCACACAGCTCACAAAGGAACACTCTAAGCAAGTTTAAATAATATGCTTTTTTTTTAATAGTCCTCTTTCTCTCTAACAAGCACACAAGAAAGTGATAAATATTCAAGCACACCTCTGTCATCCTACCCTCCCCACGAGGAGATTGGAGCCAAGAGCCAGGCACACCTTCTTCCTCTATTCCTGCAAAATCAAGTTTGTGGGAAGCAGAAACCTGCTTCTATAAGTAAACAAGTCACCTACACTCTGAAATAATAGATGCTCACTGTTCCTGGGAAGGGAGACCGCCAGGCCAGGGTGAGACGCTGCAATTGGTAGGCAGTTGCTCTGCCATTCCACGGCACCTCTGCGCTGGAGAAGGATGGATCTTGCAATGAAAAGGTGTTTCTTCCATTGGTTTTTGGCCCGACACCATCCTCCACAGCAGTGGCAGACAGTGCAAGAGTGAGGGCAACGTGACTGGAACACAGTTTCTCCTGTAAGCCTTGCGGTGCCATCCTGCCAGGGCCTCAGGCGATCCAGATCTGAAGACCCCAAAAGGCAGAGTGATGGGCAGAAGCAGCTGCACACACGACTCTGAGAGTTTTACAGTCGGATTTGGAGAACTTCAGGGAGCAGTGCTTCCGAGGTCCCTGCCAGGGTCTCCACTGGGGAGTTTTCTTGAAAGGTCTCCTTTCTCTCCTTTGGAGAGGCTGAGGTCTAAAAGGCAGATTTACCATAAAAAAAAAAAAAAAAAAAAAAAAAAAAAAAAAAAAAAAAAAAAAAAAAAAAAAAAAAAGGCGATTATCTTCTCTCTGTCCAGAAAGATTAATTAAAAAGCTCTTTTCTTCGCAGTTTCTTCTTCTCTGATACATCTCCAGTTCTGTCCCAGTTGAGAACTTCTTTTTTCATGGTCAGGGTTCCATCACTTGGCCCATGAAAAGGACTGTTCCTGAGGATGGAAGAATCGTGGGAAATGAGAATTGGAAGGAATGGCAGAGCTCCCCAAGCGTGCAGTTAGGGGTGAACTAAGATGAGTGAGATGTCTGGAGTCACAGCTGCTTTAGTGACTAAGCTAGGACTGGGGTCCTGGCACAGCACTCCATCTATGAGAGAGCACTGTCTTTGAGGAGGGGAGAGGAGCAGAGTTATGGATTTTTTGCCTAGAGTTCCCGGGTAAGAGGGTGTCTACGCTTGTCAGGACCAGTGCCTGAAATGGGGGAGCACTGTGGCCTCGGCTCACCTGTGGGGTTGTGCCGCACCACAAAGAGGAAGGGTCTGTCCATGATGATCTCCTCAGGGGCCATTCGGGCTGAGACGGCAATGGCTGGAAGAGAAGGGACAATATCTTAGAACCAAGGGACAGTTCCTGGACCCGAACCTTGAAAGTTTAGGGAAGTCTCCTGAGGCCTGGTTTCTTTCAGGAGCTTGGTAGAGATCCATCAACTGCTCTCCTTCAAACAGACATTTATCTAAACCCTGTTAGGGCATATTAATTCCTTAAGTTAACTAGCCACTGTGAGAACAACCCAGACTTTCCTTTGGGAGGTTTTTCACATTCAGAGGTGCTCATGAACTGCTGGAGTCAGGGAAAGCAGGCCCATTTTCTTGGTTGAGAAACACCAAGGAGGAAAGGAGAGTACTCCCCGCACAGGAAGTGCTGCTCTGAGAGGCCTGGTGACGCAGGGCAGAGGGAGTTCATTCCAGGTGTAGGTGCCTTAGGGATCCCTACTGTGAGCCTTGGGCCAAGACTTGCCAGGCCTCACCTGAGCCTGACTCACCTGTAGAGGAGGATGCCTCCGTGCCTCTCTCGTTCACCTTGATCTTCACTTTTTGCAGGGCCTGCGATACATAAAGAGGCTCTTGATCTGAAACAGGAGTGGATACAAGAGTAGATCAGATTGGTTTTTTGGGAACAGCTCCTTTATCTTCTAAGGGGCCACACAGCCCACCAAGATAAGAAATGAAAGGAAAATCTCTTACCTGAAAAAGTGGAGAAGTCCGCCTGACTTGGATTAAAGATGTTGGTCATCCCCAAGTTCTCCAAGGGCCTCCTGAGGTCAACTTCACTCTCCAGGGAGAACCTACAGGCAGGAGCAGAAAACAGCTCAAACTCAGGCTGTCTCCGGCCACCTCTCCCAGTCCCTCCCAGGCATCACCCTGGCAGCCTGATAGCATTGGGACTGATGTGAAAGTAGAAGAGGGAGGCTTGTTATTTCAAGGTCTCTGCTTGCTACAGGTCTAATATTAATGAACATTCTTATGACTAATTACTTTTCTCAAATAAGACAGGAGTTGATTCTGTCTTAGGGAAAATTCTGGTCTGTAGATTGTGTTTCTGAGAGCTAACCTGAAGACTCAAGCAGCGAGGCTTTAGGCTGTTCTCTGCTCCCCATCAGAGCACAGCTAATTACTTCCATTCTTGGGTGGGAAGGAGGGGGGGGAGAGAGAGAGAGAGAGAGAGAGAGAGAGAGAGAGAGAGAGAGAGAGAGAGAGAACTAACCAACTAAACTGGGGTAAGCATGGTGGGAGGCTTTCCTACAATTCTGGAATTATCTAGCCCCAGCCTTCTCCACTCTGCTTCTGCAGAAGGACTTAAAAAATCTGTTAGACACTATAATTCCAGTTGCTCCATCTGCAGAAGTGATTCCTTTTGTTCCCATTTTTGGAAGTTGACTTGAGAAGATGGGGTGGGAGTGAGGGGCATTCATAAAAAGGTGAAGGCAGATTTAGCCTCTGACCTCTAGTATCTCTCTGGCTCTTCCTTTGGCTGGCTTTTGTTGTATATTCTGAGGGAGACAAATGCGGGGGCATAGTCTAGAAAGCCCCTCCTTGCCCTCTAGCAGAAATGGGAGGAGGGATGATGAGAGGAATCTTAATCAAACCCAGGCAGTTTCCCATCAGCCTCCCACACATGTCCCTGCCCTGCAAACATCACATATGGGAAACTCCACACGGGGCTGTGTTTTCAGGAGAGAGGAGAGGCAGGAGATGAGGGGATTAGGGCAATGGCAAATGTGGCTAGAGCCAGGGGTGGCTTACTTGGGCAGAATCAGGAGGCGGGGCAGACGGGTCATATTTCCTTTCCACTGGCTGATGAGCTGGGCATCCAGAATGTTGGTGAGGGCTGAGAGAGGCACCTTTTTTTCGTAGGGAGCAGCAATGAACATGCTGAGAGTGTCCCCATGGTAGGGCAATTCCAAGATGTCGTAGTAATGGCCATCAGGGGTGGAAAACTCAGCTGTGAAGACACCAAGATGGCACGTTGAAAATGATTCCAGCTCTTGTTGATTCTAACACAGCACTAGATTTTCAACCAGTTCTCATATCCTCTCCATTCTTTTGGAAGCCAACTTTCCCTTCTGGCTTTTGAGGCTCCCACACCCACAGCTCCCCCATTCAGTGTTTTCATTTCCATTTCCCTTATTTCCTGCCAATTCAGTTTCTCTGTCTCTTTCTGACTTTCTTTATATTCACTTCTGCTTCCCCACACCCAGTTACTAATTCATTCCAGTCCTCTTCTCCTGAATCTCAACTTCTATGTAGCCCTTCCCCCAGCAGGATTTGTGGACCATATGAGGATGTGAGATGGGGTCCAGTGGCCAGATGTGGGCCTGAGGGAACTGGTGGATTTCAGCTTCATCTTGCATAAGATAAAGCTACTTTCTGCTGCATAAGATAAAGCTACTTTCTGATCCTAGTGTCTCCTATTTGGGAAGTGTTTGTTAAAGCTGAGGTATATTCTAGGGTTTCTCCTCCCTAAGAGGGGAATACCTAGGGATGGGGTCCAGTAGGAATAGGGTTTGGGGAAGGGAGTCTTGCACTTACTGTAGTTGAACTTGCTGTTCTGAGTCATCATGGGCACTGAGACAGTGCTGCCATCGGACTTGTGGAAGAGGCGGTGGTGGGTGCCCAACTCTGGGAATGGTGTCTTCCAGTGGCCATTGAAGTACAGGCCATTCACTAGTACCAGGCGTGTCAGGCTGTCCACGGCCCCTTCACCAAGTAAGTCACTAATCATGCCTATGGGAAAAGCAGGTGATCAGGAGCTAGATATTTTCTTAATCATCTTAGATAAGTTCTCTTCAATTCACAGGCTTCAAATGGATGTGTGTCTATTGAAGTGATCCAGTCAGAAGATAGTGTGGGGGGTTAGATAAACCAGTCTAGCTGTTTTCAACCTGTTTCATCTTCCTAAGGATCTCATAAAGCCTTTGCACACTTTCTTGAGCCTGGGATCTTGTCTAGGATCAGACCTGGAAACTTAGGTCTTCCCTTATTTTGCTCCCTTGAAGGGGTGTGTGTGCTCCTTATCATGGCTATTACCATTCTGACAAAGTTGTACAGCACTTTTTAGGGCTGCCTTTTGAGTTGGTTCATGAGAAGACCTAATTATGACAACTATGACACTGATTCTTAAATCACTTGACCTTCTGCCTACAGAGAAAAGAGTGCTGAAAGGGAAAGGTTGGTATATTTGGGATTTGTTTTCAAAATCCCTTTCTTGGCAGGCCCGTGGACTCTGCTTCCTTTTCTTTTTTTTTTTTTTTTTTTTTTTGCTTCCTTTTCTTGCCTGCTCACCTTTTGTGTGTCTCTTCACCCAGTCATTTACGATGAACCTGGCTCTCTCAATCTCTGAAAAGTCCACCTGCTTGACTGTGGTGCGGAACAGCCTGAAGAAGTGAGGCATGAAACCTTGAGCCAGCTTCAGATCCCGCTGAACGAAGATGGCATCGGCGATGCTGATCTCATCCTTGTTCCATGGCCCCATGAGCTCCTTATACAGCTGACGAAGGGCAGGGGCCATGCCCTTCTCTGTGCCAGAGGAAGGAAAGACACATCAGGCTCACGTTCAACCAAGGGATCCCAGCTGGGCCAACTCTCCCTCATGGATGGGGCTCTTCTGCTCCCCTAGGTTTCTCTAGAGGGAGAGTTCATTCCAAATCTTAATCTCTTTTGCTTCTCCCTCTTTTTCTCAAAAATCTGCATGAGTGCCTACCCCCTACTTTGCCCATCTCTCACCTTCAATATCGAATTGCATTGCTGCTTGGATCTGCTGCCTGGTTTCTCCTCTGGTTGTTAGCTGCAGCATGGCGAGGACTGAGGCCACACCATAGGGTGAGAAAATCACGTTACGGTCCTTGGAGGCCTGGGCCACCTGCTGAAACACCTTCACTCCAAAATCTGTGACCTTATGGGCCGCCTGAAGCTGGCGATGGTCTGAGGCAGATCCTTCACCAAGGATGGAGGCCAGGCCCAGAGCTAGGCAGGCAAAGACCGGAGATGCTTTCATCCTAGAGCCAGTGGGAAAGAAGCTGATGAGAGCTGGTTCTAGAAGGATGGTGAATGGGGAGGGGAGATGACATCCCAGCCATGGGCCGTGCTTCCCATGTTTGTTGTTGACAGGCGCTAAATGAACACAAGGACAAGATTCATTAAGAAACCATGATGTGGCCCTGGCCAGTGAGGCTCTGTTATCCCGTATACCAAAAGGTGGTGGATTCAATTTCCCATCAGGGCACATACACAGGTTTCAGGTTCAATTTCTGGTATGGGTGATTGCAAGAGGCAACTAATTGATGTTTCTTTCTCATCTCTCTCTCCTCCCCACCCCCCCATTCTTCCTTGCTCTAAGATAAAATTTTAAAATGGTTAATATTAATTTTTTTAAAGAGGAAATCGTGATGGGTTCAGATTCTGCAATCACTGCTATAGAGAGGGCAACTTATGGCTGCAGGTCTTGGGGAGGGGATGAACAGAGGCAAAGTGGGGATCTTGGATGGGGAAATTCTGTGCAGGGACCTTCCCTACCTTAACCCAAGGGAAAAGATGGAGAGAGTTTGATTTTCTCTTACCTGAAATTCTCAAAGTGCCTTGTGAATGGTGGTTTGTCCAGCTGCTGCTGCAGATTAGGTGGTTCTGTTGCTGCTGGAGAGGGGTGTGTCACTCTTGACAGTGCCTTTAGCCCTGCAGCCAAACACAGCTGTGCTGTTAGGGAGGCAGCCGCCTGCCTTTATACCAGAAATGGGCAGGAAATAGATTAACTCATGGCTCAGCCCCACCTACTTTCTGGCTTTGGAAGTCTGACTCCCTGAGGCATGTGTGTTCGTGCTGCTGTGTGTGTGTGTGTGTGTGTGTGTGTGTGTGTGTGTGTACGTGTGAAAGGGCTCAGTAATGATTGAGCAACCCCCCACAGCCTTGACCTAGGGGCCTCCCCTGATTTTGCTGCTTTCCATCTGGGTCCCTGTCTCTCTGAATGTTATGTCAGCCTGAACCCTGGCAGTGCCAGACAGCCTGAAATGCCCAGTGTTTAACATTACCTCCCCCAGTGCTCAGCTTGGGGGAAAACATTTTACATTTCCTCTTTTTCCTTTGGGGAAATGGGTCACCACAGATTTATCAAAGAAGCTAAGGATGCTGTGGACTTCTGTCTGCCAGCATCTTCTACACCACGTGCAGGGGAGCTGAGGAAGAATGCCCTTTTCTCCTCTTGGCCACGTCCCAGTGGCCACAGGGCACGGAGCGTGCCATGTGATTGTCTGGGTTTTGACTGTTTAGGACGTGAATCTGGCAGAGGACTCCCTTCAGTCTTTCCCGCTTCCCTTTAGAGTGTCGTGGCGGATGATGCATGGCTGACTCTCCCACGTGTCCAGACTCTTGAATTGCCTCCGAGGGCTCTCTTTTGTGTAAACAGCCCTGTCTGGCAGGGATTTGAGGTGTACTGGGTGGGGTGGTGGAAGGACCAGGGGTTACTCAGGTAAAGTCTTGCCAAGGATTTGTAGCCCAACATGTAAGTTTTGTTTCTCTGAGCTACCCGCTGTAACTGGAGAGAATTAAGTCTTATTCTTTTCCTCCAGATGCAGACATTGGAAGTCTGGAGCAGCGCAAGTAGGAATAGAAAAGAGGGCTTCAATTCCTGGCTGGCTTGTGGGGTGTGCTCCTTGGGCATTGAGTTTGAAGTGGAAGAATGACCCAAGAATTTTATAGAAGGTGGAAATTGGCTGGAGGCAAGTGAATGGACCTGGACTAGTGCATTTGGGGGCCTGGCAGGGTAGGATACCCGTGGCCGTGTGGCCTGGATGTTGTGGACAGGGGGCTAAGTGCCAAGGGGTCCTGAGGGATGGAGAGAGATGGTGCACTCGATCTGGGGTCCACACACTGTCATGATTTGTGTAGGTGGTAGGGTTCAAATGGGAGTATCCATGGAGACAGCCAATAACAGATTCACAGGAAGTTTAAGTGAGTGGAGGTGTCAGAATATTTGTTTTGGATTTTTTCAGTAAACAGATACCAAGGGCAACCACAGCTGGATGGCTTTCCCAAGTTTACTCTGAGTCGGCCTTTATTTTGTCCTGTTTCCCTTGGGAATTATGTGGGGATGGGAGGGGGAAAGGAACAATCCCTATTGGAAAGTTAGGATCACCGACCCATTACAGGATGTTCCGATGTAGTTACTTTTTTACTTTTTTTTTGTAGTTGCTTCTTGTTTATTCCTTTTTCTTTTCTTAGTTGTGGTTTGGAGTTCCTGAGAAGGTGGTTAACCATGAAGAAGCAGCAGTTACCCCAGACCTCTCTCGGGTGGAGAGGACAGAAGTCCAGCCCCCTTCCCCCTCATCTTTTATCCCCAGAACTGCCCCCAGGGCCTTGTCACACACCCCTGGGGCTCAGAGAGAAAGAGGAGGACTTGAGAATCTGGGTTACATTTGCCAAGTTCCAAGTTGGAAGAGCAGTGGGTTGAGCCTCAGTCAGAAACTGCTCTCTCCTGGCACCTCACTGCCTGGCCTCTCCAGCCGCTTCTGCTGAGCTCCTTCCCTCGCTCCGTTGGCTATTCCAGTAGCCCTTGTCCATTGCCTTGCCGGGCCTCAGCCGTAAAGGCCCCTGCTATTTTCGGTGAATGACGTGGACACTGCCAGTGCTGTGACCAATTCTGTCCCCACTCCTGACCTGATGGATGATCCTGATGCCATTCTAGAAAAGACACTCTGTTCTCAGGCTCAGGAGTCCAGAAGCAGCTCTGTGTCCTATTGGAGAGAGGGGGGGGGAGGGCACTCTACATTGGAAACAGAAAGGGCTGACTTACTTAGAGGTCTTTTCCTAAACTAGAAGGGTCTTGTGGACATCTGATGGATGTGTATCAGAAAACCAAGTTCCATGCCCTAGTTTCTGATGAGCTTGGGCCACTAGATGATCTAAAACCAGACTGGTCTGTGGTCCCTCCTGCTCTTCCCTGTGAAATGGCCTTGCTTCGACCTTGTCTGTCCTCTGGAGGCCTTCCACATATCATAGTGCTTCTGGCCACCCTCTGCCCCCAGGAGACCTCCCTGCAAGGCCTTTCTCAGAATCTGACCTGACTCAAGGGGTTGTCACTTTCTCTCCTTTCCCTGAACCCCAAATAACCGCCTTGACCCAATCACTTCTTTCAAGCCTTGGCTCCTTTGTAAGGGGTCAAATGGACAGAAAGAGAAAAGTCCCTGCTGTTGAAATAACTGGATCTTTGATTCTGGGAGAGTCAGAGATAAGAGGATGAGTTGCAGGGCTGTGGATTTTGGGGGAAGTTCCAGTTCCAGCCAACAGGAAAGATGTTTCCATCTGTCCTTCTGCAGGTGGTTCATGACTAGACCAGACTCAGACTCACATTTTCCGTTACTGACCACCCTCCCGCCCCCTCACCGGCCACCCATGCCCCAGGAGCCCTGCTTCAGTTTGGGCTTCAGGGCCACTGGTGTCAACCTCCAGCCCTCACTTCCTGCCCTCCAGCTGCACTCTGGCCTGTACTTGGCTCTTCCCCTTTGCTTCTCCGTTGCTCTCCCAATACCAACCATCTGCCCTCTTTTTCACCTTCCTTTTCTTGATCTCTTCTGTTCAACCATCCATCTACGGTAAGGTGACCAGACGTCCCGATTTTTAACAATTTGTCCCGCGTCCCTCGGCGTTTTAAAAAAAGTACCGATTTTTGGAAAGATTTTTAATCTATGGTCACCGTAATCTATGGGCTTATCCCCGTTCCTTCCCTGGGTCCCCTCAAGTCTTAGCCTTGTGAGCTCACTCCCATTTCTCCACTCTTTCCTTTCTACTCTCTATGACTCAATCCCTCTTTTCCCTCTCCTTTTCCAGAATCCCTTTTACAGTCAAATGCTCTGTTCCAAGCCTTCCTGTGAGGAGGAGAGGGCTGCCTCCTCTCAGTTACACAGGCTCCTTGGAATGTTGGAGCAGGCCTCCTGATTCCTGGTGATTTCACTGGGAGAGCTGGGGGTGGAAGGACAGGGTCCTACTAATTCACAGCCCTATTTTTGGCCTGGTTTCTCTCCAAACAACATAGCGACAGAAATAGCCTGTGTTTGGGCTGGGCCAGCCCTGCCTGTCTTGTAGGAGTGAGCGAGGTGAGGGCTGTGTGTCTCAGCCTCTTGAGATCATGGCCTTGGGACAGCCACACAGAAACAGGGCCTCCCGGCCTTTTCAGGGTTCCTTCTCACATTGATGCCACACCTGACTGCCCCCTCCTCTGCCTCCACAGCCTTTCTCCTTCTGTCTTCTTCAGCCCCCACCTGCCATGCCTCCTAAAACTCCTATAACAGTAAAACCTATGTCCCTCGTAGCCCCCCAACCCCCTTGCCAATGCAGCCCTTGCTTTCTGCAGTTGCTTTTTTCTCCATTTATGTCTAGAGTTTCAGGGGTAGGGAGGCCTCTAAATCCAGTCCTTTGAATTTGCAGGTGAGGGCTCAGGTCCAGAGAGGCTGAGCAATGTCCTGTGTTTGAAAGCTCAGAGTAACATACCACAGACGAGAGAACAGTGCTCATTGGAGCAGACAGAGCCAGCCAGCCTGGTCAGGGGTCTGAAGACAAAATGTTTGTGAGCCTTAGTTTTTCTTATTTGTGGATAGATACGTAAATCGGGACTTATAGATAGATAGATAGATAGATAGATGATGACTTCCATCCTTCAGGGCTGCTGTGAGGAATAGTGAAGTATTGTCTGTCAATGTCCAGCATAGTCTAGGCTCTCACTAGGGGGTGGCCACTCTTAGTTGGGGCAGAGCCAGGACAGGACCCAACAGCGTGAGCTGTTCATTTTGCTACGATGCCAGCTCCTTGTTTTAGGCATTCTTTTGCACTTCCCTCAGCGTTTAGCCACGTAGATTAAATGCCTGGGAAGTGGTTACCTGAGAGAATGGCTGCCAGCACCTCTTTCCATTTCAAGCCAGATCTTCCTGCTTCCACTTTGATCCCGACCTGCTCCCATGGGCCAGCTTCGCAGGCTTTAGGCACGGAGAAGATTCTCCTCTCTCACTGTGGGGTCACAGGGGAACCCCCACTGACATGTGACACATGTCCTGATCTCCTCAGGGTGTCAGAAAGTTGGGAGGCGGGAGCTTGTTCTATCAACAGGTCAAAACAGAACTGAGCTTGGCCTACTCTTCTAGGCTCAGCCTCTTGACCCATTCTCTGCCATCCATGTCTGCTATCTCTCCTTGGCCCCTCTATAACACACATTATCCTTTAACCACTTTTACGCATATCCCCTTGTCTTACAGTCATTTATTTACTTATCCTTAAACTTACTGTGGCCACGGCCATGTCTCATTTATCTTTATTTCCAAGGGGGAGGTAACAGGTCAGTATCCTCTTGAGGGGCCACTCATAATGCCATGATGTCAGTGTGCAACGGGCACCAGAGGCCCCCTCAGCCTCCCACTCTCCTCCCCCTGCCCCTCCTCTCTTGGGGGGAAAGAGACAGAGGGAACAAATGGGACCTTGTATGGCCAGAAGGGGAAGTTTGTGACAGGGAAGGGTGGAGTGTGTGATTTCTGGGGTAGATATGACCACAGAGCCTGGTGGTGTCCGTCAGAATGACTCAATGCAGGCCCCAGGGTCCTCTGCCCCCCCCACCCCCACCCCGTCAGATTCTGTCTCATTCCTTTTTTTTTTTTTTTTTTTTTTTACCTATGTGTCTGATTCTAACTCTGATGCACGTCTTTCATCTTTACCAGGACTTGTTCCTCATTCTCTCCATTCCTGAATCTCCCTTTAGAATGCTCTCTGGACACATTCTGCTTTCTTTTACTCTGGCTGTTGTGTAAATCTTGGCTTTCCCAAAATGGCCAAATAGTTATTGACAATCAGCACTTGTGGTGTGATTCAGAGAAATGTAAACTTCTCTCTTTCTTGAACATATACTCTTAGTTGGACAGAAGATTACGTATATGAAGTAATCAGATTAAGATGTAAAGTCTGTATGCTGTGCTGAAAGACTTGGCTGTCAGAGTACAAGTGGAGGGAGGGCTTCCCAGAGGAAGAGGGACTGATGCTGGATTAGGAGGACGAGGCAGAGTGGCCTCAGCAGAGAAGCTGAG